TATATCACCTCTAATCTACTTTCAGGATAGCTAACAATAAAGGTGCCAGTCTAATGCAAGCATGGCTTTATTGTAAACTGTAGTATTTTAGGCATAATGTATTGCTCACTTTAATATGTATCCATCTAGAGATATAAACACACTTTACCTAAAAGTGGGCCAAATACTTTTGCAGTTAAGATTAGCATTCTAGAGAAAATGCTTCATTAAATGTTGACACAGCTGGTGTCCTCTTTTTAGGTGTCTTTGAAAGGAAAAGAAAATGAATCATGCAGGAAAATCTTGAGCAGTCAGAGGCAGCCATCTATTTAGGACCCTTGTGCCCATGAGCCCCCGTTTACTCTGCTCTGGAGAAGAGAAGTGAATTCTGAGTGCATGGAGCCGAGTCTGTGTGAATGTCAGGTCAGGTTGTGTGACATGTCAAGCATGTCCCTCCTCTCTGCATTCCTTGTGCCAAGTATCCAAGCGACCACCCTACATACTATCTGTTCCCATCACATGTTCTGGGGTGGAATTTGCTGGTGAAAGCATTTTTCATCTTTCGGACGGTTTGAGACATGCTATCTCTTTGAGAGATCCTAGATTTACCGTTACTTTACACTATAAGCACTAGTAAAAGGGGAAAATTTTCTTCATGTAACTGATTTATTGAAGATGACTAATGAGTTTTCATGGCAGTTTGGGCAGTATTTGACTTCTCCGGTCTGTCTGATTCAGCTGTATAACTATTATTTGTGTGATTGTAACTATTTGGTCCATTAACATTTTTCTTCTTCCAGTGAGTTGTAATGTCTTAAAGATGGACTTTGGGGCATATCATTAGCAATTAATTACAATTTTCTTTGTCAAAGTACTAGTCATGTAATAGGAAAGTATCTTTCCAGTATGCCTCAAAAAAACGTTCAGAATTAACTAGTTAGGAAATGCAGAATGTTTGACTTAATTGTAAAAGACATTTTAAATTAGAACAATGGATCTAAAATGGTTCTTACATCTGTCCTGATTTGCATGCGTTACTATTCAACCACAAGTAATATTGAGATTTTTTTTTTAAAATTCTCACTAGTATGTGAAAAAGGAGCCCTGATAGTGTAGTGATTAAGCACTTGGTTCCCAACTGAAAGACTGGCAGTTCGAATCCACCAACTATTCTGTGAGAGAAAGATGGTCTGCTCCCAGTTACAACCTTGGAAACACTGTGGGACAGTTCTAGTACATCTTAGGGAATTTCTGTGAGCCAGAATTCGCTTGATGCAATGAATGGGATTTCGTATTTTGTTTTTTGTTGTGTTTTTTTTTTTTAATATTTGAAAATGGTTGTATAATATAGCTTTTAAAAGCTCAAATTGCAGAAGTGAAACAAACCTCATTTACCTTTAAACTTTATTTAAACTTCATAATACCTTCTATAACTTTGGTTGGGTTACTACCACACCCAGATCTTTACAAAAGCTCATCTGATCTTCAGTTTCCGTTTTTTAGATTTCACTTCACATTTCACAAAACTTTTCTCCTGGTTTGGGTGAAGTTGTAGATCCTCCATGTTTTCTGAGCAAAATGCCATTCTAAATACAGAGCATAAAGCAAACACAACATTAAACTTTTGATGGAAGTGTTCCTTCATTTTCAGATACTCAAGTAAGGCATGCAATGTTATTTTTTTTTAATTAGTTTCTTAGGTTTGCAAATATTTTTATAGCTTCATAGAAGAACAAAACCCAAATCTAGAAAACAGTTGTCTAAGGCTTCCTGGGGTTTGTACTGGGGTGATTTCAATTTGGTGAGAACTGGAAGTCCTGGGGCAGGACTCCTTTGTTCTCCCTCATAGCAAACATCAGAAATGGGAGGGTCACTGTGTTCTTTCTCTACACTGCCCTGACATCAAGACAAATATTTTAAGTTTCTTCAACTGTTCTTCAACAGCATGCTAAACTTGCCAGCCTCACTTCTTTGGACATGCTCCAATTTGTTAATAGCATTCTTACAGTCCCTACAAATCAGCACCTGCCAAGCTCAGCATTGGAAACCCTGCCCTTTTCCCTAATGGGTGCTGACACCATCTAGCCATAGAAGACACTCACTAAATTTCGACCTCTTTTGGAGTCCAACTGCTAGACAATTTTGACTATTAATTTACCTTGAGATGCCATTTTGTGTTACTAGTTCCAATGGCATCTATTTTTTAAAAAGTTAGTCACAGAGAACTCTAGTTATAGATTTCTTTTTTTCTTAGATACAATCTAAGATCAAATCTTTACTAAACTAAAAATTGTGATGAGTAATCTAAATATCATTTCTGCAGAAATTGTACATCTTTTCATTTTTGTTTAGCCAATCATTTCTTCTATCTTGCTGTTGGGTCAATATTTTGAACTCTATATTCACCCTCACAACAAACTGTGTTCATTTTTGACAAGAGCTTTTTTGGGGAAGAACATCACCTCACATTGAATTATGCCCAGGGAGGTACAGAATGTGTTGTTTAGCTTTCCTCCCATCCCCTGTTAACTAGTCCTTTAAAAAAATTATTAAAATTAACAAAGAGAGTAAGTATTCATACCCTGAGTTGTGATTGTCATTTGTAGATGGGACTTAAAAACTAATAGAACCATTCTTATTTGTAGCTAGAGAAACTGAGTCTCAGAAAGGCAAAGTGATTGTCTCAGGATACTCATGTGGTAAGCAGTAGAATAAAAATTTGGATTTAGAATTGACAGCTGAAGCCTGTCTCTTTCTTTCTGCCACACTGCTTTGATCAATGCCTAGGGTTTCCTGGAAATGCTTGTCAGCTACCCAAAGCCTCACATGTCCTCACGGCAGAGACCTGACAGCATCAACCCACAGCATCAACCTGAGAGGATATCCTTCTTCTCAGACTTCTAGCTACTACCTTCCTAGCAGCATAAGCGTCACCTGGGAGTTTGTTAGGAATGTAGAATCTCAGGTATCCCTAGATTTCCTGAAGTGGAATCTACAGTTTAGTATGTTGTCCAGGAGATCCAAGAGCCAGAACTTGGATTTGCTATCTTTCCACGGTACCTGGCACTATATAGACACATGGGAAGGATACAACTTATTATTAAAAAAATGAAATACTCCTAACTACTCCCTCTTTTTATATTTCATACAGGCCTAAGTAGGGTTTGATAGGTATTTATGTTAACACAAATACAATTCTGATAGACTATATTAAGAGGTATCAGATATGGAAATTTCAAGACTAATGGATATAGAATTTTGGTGGCATAATGGTGGTTAAATACCTGACTGCTAGTTAAAAGGTTGGCAGTTAGAGTCCACTCATGACCCTGCTGTGGGAAGACAATATGGTAATCTGTTCTTATAAAGATTATATCCTAGGAGTCTCTGGTGGCCTAGTGGCAAGAACCTGCACTGCAGTCTTGAAGGCACATGGTTCAAGCCTACCAGATACTCCACTGGAGAAGGAGGGGCAATCTCTTCCTGTGCCATTCAGATCCGATTTGACAGCACACAACAACAACAGCAAGATTATATCCTAGGAAATCTTATGGGAGCAGTTCTACTCTATCACATGGGGTTAAGATAAGTTCGAATCAACATGATGGCGCCTAATAATAACATTAAGACTAATGGGGGAAGATGGAAGGAGGAGTGGCACCCATTTCCATAATAGCTTGCCTCCGGAAACCCTATGAACCTGGAGAGAGGATGAAAGACACACAAGCATTGAGGACTCTCCTTCATTAGGGTCGCTATGAGTCTCCTGCAACTTGATGGCACTTAACAACAACAATGGGGGAAGAATCTCTGATGGAAATGGTACATGAGCCATGAATGAGCAATGAAGTAGGCCTGTGTCAGACCTAGGCTTGGAAATTATAAGCAATGTCCTCAAGCTGTGTAATGTCCATGAGCCTCAAGTTCCTAACCTGCACCACTCTATCCATTTCAGAGGGCTATTTGGAAGATGAGATGAGATTGATAGGGCACACAGCCCAATGCCTTCTATGCAGAAAGAGCTTTTCAAGTATTAATTCCCTTCTTGACCCTTTCCTCTCCCTTCTTCAGTATCATGTGAGTGTGTACTGACTGGGGAAGGAGGATGTTTTATACAACTCTTCAGGTGAAGCCCTGCAGCATGGTTATAGTAGACATCTCAGAACAGAGATGTTACTCGCCAGCTAAGAAAATGTAGGGAGAGCTGGTGCTAAGAAGTAGCCCTGCTGTGAAGAGCCAGAAAGTCATGCAAGAATGGTTAAGTATATAAGAGGAGAGAAGCAGTTTAATTTTCTCAAATTGATCATGTGGAGAAATCTGTTGGCAGACTGCAGAGTATGTTCTTAGTAACTGCCAGGATTGCGTATCCCAGGGAGATAAAAATCTTAAACTGTGGTTGTATAAGGGATTCAGGAAGCATAAATCTGCCACAGGCCAGCTCCTGACAGTGGAATCTGAGTTATGATGGAGGCATGTAGCTTGGAGGATGTGCTTCTCAACAAAGGTGGTGTGAGAGGACAGACAAGATTCCTGGATACAGGTGGAAGAAATAAGAAAGTGTTGGGAGAAGGGCAGGATCCTTTGAACTGTACGACTATTGACTAAACCATGACCTGCCAAAAGAACAAACAAAACTGCATTGGAAGAAGTCCAGCCATCATGCTACTTAGAAGCAAGGATAATGGGACTTTGTGTCACATAGTCTGGCTTATTATCAAGGGCCCAGACCCTGGAGAAGAACATTAAGCTTGGAAATGTGGTGTTAGCTTAACACTTGGCCTTTACAGCCATTACTTTTGATTTCCAGCTACCTTTACTGAAGACAGTCTTGCAAATAATTAACAGCTGTGGGAGCAGGATAAGCAAGAGAGAGTCCTTTTTACACTGAGTAGCAAGACTTGAGGGGGACTGGAGCAAGATCCTGTTGAGAGTGAGACACTGGTGATGAGATGCTGGTGATGGTGGTAGAGAGACCATGGCATTGCTGTGGAGAAACTGTGGCAAGGTGTAACGAGAGAAGCCCACTCTCAGTATCTCAGTCTATGAGTTAAAAGTGAAGAAATGAACATTTTGCTTCTGCTGTGGCTCTAGAGGCACCATGGGGCTGCACTGTGGGTTCTTGATCTGCTTTCTGCTCTTGAGCAGTGAGGGGCTGTGCTATTCTCACGCCCTCTGGCCTCTTCAAAGAGATGCTCATGGTCCTGTGTCTCCACACCCCATTTTCTGCTCTTTAGACAACAGAGTATAGAGATGGTGAAGGAGAGGAAGACCTTCAAGGGAATGAATTGATACTGTAACAATGATGAGCAGATTGGAGATTGTATGGATGGTGCCAGTTTGGGTAGGGATTTGATCTGTTGAACATACGGTCCCTATGAGTTGGCATCAACTCAATAGCACCTAACAAAAGCAGACCTATAGAGAAGCACAGTGACCATGGACATCCCTCTGCTCTGCTAAGGAAGAAGCTACTGGCTCTCGCTCTCCGCTCTCTGCTCTCCACTCTCGCTCTACTTCCCATTCCAATCCTTATTGTTCTAGAACACATAGCAGTGTTTCTGAACATTATTGGTCTACACTGATGTGGAACAGAGGTTTAACATGCTTGACTGCTAACAGAAAGTTTGGAGGTTTGCATCCAACCAGAAGTGACTCTAAAGAAAGAGCTTTTCAGAAGTTTTCCTTCTGAAAAATCAGCCATTGAAAACCCTACAGAGCACAGCTCTCCTCCGACACTCATGAAGTTACCATGACTCGGAATCAACTCAAAAGCAACAAGTACTGGGAGTTCGTGTGCATCAAGACTTCTCAGGACTCTTAATCAAAGTGTGCACTTTAGGGAAGTTCTACAGATAGGCCTGAGAACTCTGCATTTCTAATAAGCTTACCAGTGGTTTGCATTCTAAGATTTAAAAGGTGCAAGGGGCCTTTGGTAGCGTAGTTCATAACATATTGGGGTGCTGAAATAGGCCAGCAATTTGAATCTACTAGTCACTTCTTGGGAGGAAGATGAGCAGTCTCTTCCTAAGATTAACAACCTCTGAAACCCAATGGAGGGGTTGGTATCAGTTGAAACTGACTTGATGGTAAAAGGTTTGCTACAGATATCAACTGAGATATTGATCTGTCAAATGCTTATCTTTGGGTAAACAAAGAAAATTAAGCATTATCTATGACGTGGTCTTTGCCATTCAAATGATATCCTTGGAGCAGCCCCAGCTTCACCTGGTGATGTTTGAGAAGCATCGTGCTGATAAACTTGCTTTCAAAGTCATGAGGCAGGTAGCCATTAACTACTGCGCTAGGAAGAAACAAAATTAGGATTAACAGTCTTGAGCTCAAATCCTGGTTCTTCTATCTATAGCTGTGTGAATTTGGGATAGTCCTTTCATACTTATGAATGTTTATACTTTATCATTAGAGCAGAATAACAACCACTTCATAACAACCAATGCTCATTACTGTCAAGTTGGGACTGCCTTACGGCTGACTTTCCACTGCATTTTCAAGAGGCTGTAAATTACATGGGAGGAAATTGTCCATCTTTCTCCCAAGTTGCTGCTTGTGAATTCAAACTACAAGAGAGGTGCTGCCATTGGTTAAGCAGTATAATTCTATATGGACTATACCAGAACTCCCTTCATCACGAATGTTGTTGTTATGTGCCATTGAGTTCACTATGACTCATAGCAACCCTATGAACAATAGCTCTGAACCCTACCCTAAGAGTACCAAGCCAACCTCACTGTCTTCAGACACACCTGCCCCCATTGCCACAGTGACTGTGTCAATCTATCTCATCAAGGATCTTTCTCTCATGTACTGACCCTCTACCCTTCTAAGCAAGATGTCATTCTCCAAGGACTAGTCCCTCCTGGCAACATGCCCAAAGTATGTGAGATGGAGTTCCAAAATTCTTGCCTCCAAAGAGCAACCAGTTTTCACTCTTCCAGGACAGAACTGTTTGTTCTCTTGGAGAACAAAATAGCCAATACATTCTGTAAATATTAAATTGTGAAAATGTTTAGCACATGTAGGCATTTAAGATCTATTAGAAGAAAGCTGAACTACCAGTCACCTTTTCTGGGTTTCTCCTGCTTTGGCTTTGATGATCTTCAGAAGGAGACCTGAGTTTCTGGGCCCTGTGCTCCATGGAATGATGGTTTGGACTGTGTTCCAGACGTTGGCCCATATGGCACTACTTTCCCACTTGAACTTGATCTTGACCAGCTCACCGATGTCAAAATGCAGTGTGATTAGAAAGGAGTAAGTTTTATTACTGGTAATTCCTTCGCCCCTTGAAGATACAAAAGAGAGTAAACAAGTAATTAGTAATAGAGTGATAGTTAAGCACATTCAAGTTGTGTTACATTTGCCCGGGTAACTTAGGATGATCTTTCTGTGCTGCATTTCTCAAATTCCTGTTCAGATATAGAGAGATGAAGGGAGCAAGAGGTGTGCCAAGGAAGAGTTATCTACTCCAGTAAAATTGGGAATACCATTCTTTTCCCTTAATTAGCATATTAAAAAGACTGAGAAGTTCTACAGTTATGAATCTGGTTAACTTTGTTTAGCTCTGACTGTTTCTTTCTTAGCTTCTAGGTGAACAAGTCTGTGAACAGGTTTGCCCTGGAGAGGGTGAAGCCGGGCTGCTCTTTGGAGTCAAGCATTCTGAAGCTTTGTCTGTCACAATTTGGACATGTTGCAAAGAGGGACCCGGTCCTTGGAGAGTGACATCATGTTTGGGAGGGTGGAGGGACAGCACAGGAAAGGAAGACCCTCGATAAGATGAATCAATTCAGAGATTGGGGTAATGGGAGTAGGTGTGTAGTGGTGAGTTTGGCACAGGATAGAGCAGGGTTTAAGGCTCTTGTACACAGGGTCACTATGAGTCATAGGTGACTCAAAGGCACATAACAACAAAAACAGGTGAACAAGTCAGGAAAGTGGTTCCTGAAGAGGAGAGGGACTTCCATAATGGTCTGGGTTCTTTATCAGTTTGATTAATATAAGAGACTCACACAAACTCTTCCTTTCAATCCCCAGCAATGTGTATTTCCTTCCAAATAGAAATTTCTGTTAAAACAGTAAAACATGGCAAATACAGAAAGGCACATATAAAAAGGAGGCACAAATATAGAAAAAACCTTAAACGTAGGCTCAGATATAATTATCGACTTAACTTACTAGATAGTTACACTCACAAGACATCAACATGCCCTAGCATTGACAGAGCTGCCATTTCCACTATGGAGAACAGTTTACTGGAGAAAGATATAATATAGATTTACAATGAGATGATGGATAGAGGATCCCTGCTTGACTCATCCTAGATCTTTTTGCAGAATGCTGTAAAGAATCCCTTGGAATCCAGTTCTCCATTAGGTGATGGACTTTCTGAGGACTCAAACATACCGCTGTTGTGTTGAAACAAACTCATAGCTGATCCTCTAGCAGGTCTCCCAGGTTGTAAATTGCACAGGAAGCGATTGCCCATCTTTTTTCCTCTGGAGCCACTGGTGAATTTGAACCACTGCATGGGTGTGGTCTTTGGGTTTAACAGGGCAATTCTCCACAGTCTATGATACCAGAGCTCCAGCTCCCTGCTATCTCTAGTGTGGAGCACCAACAAGCTCTTGCCACATGATCATAAATCTAAAGTAGACCAATTTATGGAAGTTGAGAACTTCTCCTGGAGGGAGTGAGGGGCTAGCATTACCTCCCAGTGAGAATCCAGGCTCAGAGTGGAGATGCTGGGTATCTACTGAGTCCTTCCTGACCTGTGAACCAGGGGAGCCAAGTAGGGGTTGTGATGTTATGAACAGGTATGAAACAGGGTTGATATGGACTGAATTGTATTTCCACAAAATACTCGTTGGACTTCTAACCTCTTACCTGTGGAAGTGTCCTATCTGGAAATAAGGTTCTTTTTAGCATGGTGCAGGATAATGCCTTTTGAGATAGAAGAGGAATAGATTAGGCACAGAAAGAAGTGAGCATAAATGGGGAAGAGATAGATGTCACGTGGAAAAAAGCAATACACAGAAGAATCCCTGGACTAGAGAAGATGAGATTTCCCCCAGAACTGGCAAAGAGAAGGCTTTCACCTGTAAACTGTACCATGCCTTGCATTTGGACATCTTGACTTCTAAAAACTGTGAGAAAATAAGTTTCTATTTATTAAAGCCACTCACATGTGATATTTCAACACATGATAGTTACAACAGCACCATGTAACTAAGACAAGAGTGGAAGATAGATGAGACTGGCAGGGCCACCTGATTGGGATTAAAATTTTGTACTGAGAAATCATTTTAACTCTCTTGGATCAGGATTTCTGGAGTCCATGGAGTTGGGAAACCACTCAGGCCATCTGTCCTTCGATAGACTTTTGAACTTCGAGCTTTGAAGAGCTGATTACTGAAAAGTGCTCTCTGAGTCAAACAATGGTTTAAATGAAATAGTGAGACCGTCTTGCCTTGGACATTGTGTTCTACCGAATAATTCAATTAGTTTGGGGGAAAAGAGACTCAAAAGGACAGACTGGCAGCTATGTTTCTGGGAAAATAAGTAATTCAATTATTCTTTAAAACAATACTGTATGAAAATTCTTTCCAACCACAAATTATTTATCAGTTCTGGTCTAGTTCCTTTTCCACGGAAAAGCCAATAAAATGTAGCATAGGAACTTCAGAATGTCTATTCATTTTGGGAACATTTATAATTGAAATGTTATCCTGGTTTGTAAATGCTATTAGGTTGCTAGGTGCTGAGAAGTTGAAACTGACCCATATCTGACACTCTAGTTAGGTTTCAGAGGCTATTCAGCACACAGGAGAAGTGCCCACCTTTCTCCTGTGGAGCAGCTGGTGGATTCAAATAGCCCAACCTTTGGTTTGGCAGCCCAACTTTTCCCCACTAGTCCACAAGTATGATAAAGAAATGTCTGTCCATGTCTGTCAGTTATTGGGTTAATATGATCTCTGTTCTAACAGTGCCTAGCTGAATAGCACTAGTTTTCTTTCTGGGTTATGGTTTTCAGAACTCACTAGAAAGGTGCTCCTTATTGACACATGCTTTGCCCTCACCACAACGTCTTCCTCAGATCTTTTTCCTGCACTGCAGCATTGACTGGACCAACTCAGCTTCCCTCCTTGCTCAGCTCAACTTGCATTGGCCCATCTCTCTCTCTGTCTCTCTCACCCCCCCCCCCACACCCATACCCCTAGTGTAAAGTAGTCAGGGGAACTGCAACAGGCAGAATACGATAGAAAAAAGGAATATTTTTTTAATAATATTTTCAAACAGGAGAGGTGTCCTTTATAGATACAGTTGTCTAGAAATACAACTGTGAACAAAATCTTATCAAGTTTAAATTCTTTAACTGTTGTAGTTTGCCTCTCCACCCTACAATTTACAGCTGAGCCTTACTCTTTTCTATTAACATAACTGGACCTTCTGATCTTGTATCATAGAAGACCTTTTCAAGGAATGAGAGGATTTGTTTAATAAAGTGGTTTAAACTTTGACTGAATTACTGCTAGGTGTTCTCTGAATCACAGACTTTATTAGGTCGTCTTTCGGTCTTCACATAATGTACTGAACTATTTTCCCCTGAGATGGTTCAGAAAAGCCAGCAGTCAGCTAATGCAAACATAACAAGACCCTAGAACTTATCCCTAGGTGTTCCCTTTTATCAACCTTTAATTCTTCTAAGAGGTTTCAAGGGAGCTCTGGTGGCTTAGTGGTAAGGAGGTGTGCTGCCAACCCAAAGTTCAAATTCACCATCTACTCCATAGGAGAAAGGTGGGAAATTACCCCTCATGGAATTTACTGCCTCTGAAAACCTACTAGAGGGTCAGCTGAGTCACTTTCAGCACAGAGCAAGAGCTTTCAGGTGACTCCTGTGTGACCTGCGGGGGGGGGGGGGATAGATATCTGGAAAGGGCATATCCCACAATGACCAACCATTTCGCTTAAAGAGGGCCATTTTTAAAGCCTTGTATACATGGAGTTTCCTGAATCAGGGATGTGATTGACTGTCTTAATTATCTGCACATGCTTCTCCCAAGACCCAGAAAGTACTTCAGGTGACAGCCATCTTGAAAGAGCAGCTGTTCACGTAGTTAATTGTCCTAATCCTTCCCACACAGGTCAATTCTAGATGATCCCCTCCCATGACTAAACATGATATCCTTTCCCTACCTCCAGAGCCTTTAAGAGAGTCACTTCCTCTTTTGTTCTGACTCGTGCTGCGCTTCCCTCCATGTCTCCCTTTGGGGAGTGTTTTCCTCTAATAAACATCTTTGTTTGCACAGAAAATCCTGGACTCCTGTTTTGCTGTTATTGCAAGCTATTGTCTTTCCAATTACTACCCATGCATCTGCAGGTTAAATGATGATTAAGGATGGCAGAGAAGAATCCCTGCCTTTGAATTGAAGGTGTTGGAGAAAAGGACTGAGTGTCCCATGGACTGCCAAAAGAACAAATAAGTCTATCTTGGAGAAAGTTCAGCCAGAGTGTCCCTCAGAGGCAAGAATGGTGACATTTCATCTCACATGGCTTGAAATTGTTGTCAGGAGGAACCAGTCTTTGGAAAAGACATCATACAGACAATGGTAGAGCAGCAGAGAAAGAGAAGAGGACCTTCAACAAGATATATTGACACCATGAAAGAATAACAGTGGACTCAAGAATATCAGAGATTGTGAAGATGGTATGTGATAGAGTAAGTTCAGATTTGTTGTTTATCGGGTCACAACAAATTCTAGGTGACTTGATGGCCCCTAACAACAACGATAACAGGAGGAAGAAACCTCTAGAGACATTTTCTTGGCAACCACATTTTAGTCTAGCTAAAGAACTAAGGTGACCCGGAGGAGGCATGTCATGGTGTGGGCTTGGGTGGATGTCCCATATGATAGAATCTTTGGAGCAGGCATGGTGGTTGAGAAGAGTGGTAGCGTGTATTAATATCTCCGTTTCAGGGTGCTGTTGGTATAGGCAAGGGTTCTAGCTCATACTCACAGAGTGATGGGAATGTTATGCATCTCCCCCTTTGTTCCAAGTAGAGATACGGTAAAGGTGGGCTCTACTCTTTTCTCAAGTTGGTTGATGAACTGCATCTTGAACTGGTAGTGATAAACTAGGGAGAGAAAAGTTTAAGAAAGAAATTTTATTTTAAAATCACATGCACATTTATATATAATTTAAAATGCAGAGAGAAAAATCCGTATGAATAGAAGCCAAAATGTTAGCTTCTACTTTTTTAGGGAGCTTGGCGGGGGGATAGGTAGAATTACGGATTATGTTTTTTTAAAAAAAGTTTTGCTTCTTTATATTTTCTACATTTCTTTTTCTGTCTCAATATTGTTGAGTTAGAACCAACTCATCACTCATCCTCTAAGTGGTTTTCAAAGGCTGTAAATGAAGCTGGAGGAGATGGCCTATCTTTCTACGGTAGAGCTGCTGGTGGATTTGAACTGCTTGTCTTTGGGTTGTCAGTGCAACTCCTCGCCACTAGGCCACCAGATTGATTTAATTGTTGTTATGTGTCTTTGAGTTGAGCACAACTCATAGCAACCTTATGAACCATCAGCCTGAACCCTGTCCTACCCTATGCCATTTTTACATTTCCTGACACACTTGAGCCCATTGCAACAATCACTGTGTAAGCCCATCTGGCTAAGGGTCTTCCTTTCCTTCACCAATGCTCCGCCTTTCCAAGCATGATGTCCTTCTTCAAGGAATAGACCCTCTTCGCAAAATGTCCAAAGTATGTGAGATGAAACTTCATCATCTTTGCTTACAAGGAGCACTTTGGGTGCACCTTATCCAAAACATATCTGTTTGTTCTTTGACAATCCATGAGATATTCGGTACTCTTCTCCAATAACATGGTTTATTAAGCTCTCATATGCATAGTAAGTGACTAAAAAGACCATGGCCTGAATTAGGCCCTCAGATTAACATCATTGCTACTCAATAATTTGGAGAGCTTTCTGATTTCAGACTTTCCTAGTGAAAAAAAAAATTAAAAAGTCCCCTGATTCCCTAACCTCTGTTCCACATGGGATGTAATAATCACTATTCATTGTGGGTTCAGGTAAGATAAAGTTATTGACAGTTTCAGTCTTTTCTCCATCTATCATGATGCTGCCTATTGGTTCAGTGGTGAAGATATTTGTTTTCTTGATATTGAGATGCAATCCATATTGAAGGCTGCATTCTTTGAACTTCCGCAGCAAGCGCTTCAAGTCCTCTCACTTTCAGCGAGCAAGGTTGTGCCATCTGCATAACACAGCTTATTGTCGGGTCTTCCTTCAATCCTGATGCCACATTCTTCTTCATAGTGTCCAGCTTTTCAAAAATTTGCTCCACACACAGAGTAAATAGGTATGGAGGAAGGATACAGCCCTGATGCACACCTTTCTTAATTTTAAACCATGTAGTGCTCCCTTGCTCTGTTACCACAACAGCCTCTTTGTCTAGATATAGGTTTCTCATGAGCGCTAAATTGTTACTGGATCCCCATTCTTCTCAATGTTAGCCATAATTTGTTATGATCCACACAGTCAAATGCCTTTGCATAGTCAATAAAGCACTAATAGACATGAAGGGTTTACTGCAGAGTAAACTGTAGTCTTCAATATGGATTGAAGTTCAACAACAAGAAAACAAAAATTCTCAGCACTGAACCAATTGGCAGCTTCATAATAGATGAAGAGATTGAGATTGTTAACAGCTTTAGGTTTCTTGGTTCCACAATCAGTACTCTTGGCACCAACCATCAGGAAATCAAAAGATTAATTGCATTGGGAAAGTATGCTGTTAGGGACCTCTCCACAGTACTGAAGAGCCATGATGTCAGTCTGGAAACTGATGCACCAGATCCAGGCCATGGTATTCACAATTACTTGCTATGCATCAGAGAGCTAGACAATGACTAAGTATGATAGAAGAAGAATTGACACCTTTGAGTTGTAGTGCTGAAGAGGAATATTGAACATACCACGGACTGCCAGGAGAACAAACAGATCTGTCCTGGAGATAGTTAAACCAAACTGCTCCCTAGAGGCAAGGATTTTGAAGCCCCATCTCACATACTTTGGGCATGTGGCCTGGAGGGACCAGTCCTTGGAGAAGGACACCATACTTGGAAGAGTAGAGGGATTGTGCAGGAGAGGAAGACCCAGGATGAGATGGATGGGTCCAGTTACTGGAGAAATTGGATGAGGTCTGTTGGAGATGATGAGATTGGCTCAGGATAGGGTAGGGTTCAAAGCTGATGTACATAAGGTTGCTATGAGTTGCAGGTGACTCAGTGACACATAACAACAACAACAACAAAGACATTCTTCTGGTATTCTTTGCTTTCAGCCAGGATCCATCTGACATCAACAATGATACCCCTGGCCTCTTCTAAAACTTCTTGTTGTTATATACCCTCAAGTCGCTTGGGACTCATAGCCACCTTCTGTACTAGATCTCCAAACTCTACTCTATCCTGTCCTAACCTTACTGTCTCTGACACACCAACCCCCATTTCCTCAGTCACTGAATCAATCCATCTCATCAAGGATCTTCCTTTCTTGTGTCATCCCTCCATCTTCCCAAGGATGATGTCCCTCTCCAAGGACTGGTCCCTCCTTGCAACATGCCCAAAGTATGTCAGATGAAGCTTCAGAATCCTTGCCTCCAAAGAACAGCCTGATTTCACCCTCTCTAGGATAAACCTGTATGTTCTCCTATCTGTCCATAGTATATTCAATACTCTTCTCCAGCATCACATCTCAAAGGCATCAATTCTCCTTCTATCCTCCCTAGTCATTGTCCAGCTTTCTGGTGCATACCAAAAAATTGCAATGACTATGGCCTAGATCAAGCACGCCTTAGTCTCCAGACCGACATCGTTGTTCTTCTAAAACTAAATATGCTTATAAGATGATGAAACAAAGTATTGTTTAACAACAAAAAAGATAGCATATGTGGCATTCTCGTTGATTCTATGATTCTACGTGCAAGACCTTTTGGTCATGTATTTGGCAATATATCTTTTAGATGTTTGTAATAAAGAGCTCTGTGCATAGTACATAATGTATGAGCTGTTAAATGAAAAGCTGGTAGTTTGAATACACCAGTCGTTCTGAGGGAGAAAGGTGGGCAGTCTTCTGTACTTACCATCTTGGAAACCTGATGAAGGGTTGCTGAACTGGAACCAACCCAATGGTTTGTGTTCCTTCCCCACTCATCAAATAGAATACATATTTTGACCTTTGTTCCAAGTCCATGGGAGGTAACCCACATTCTTGGCTTTCCTGAACAGTCAAGTGTCTTTTATTCATGGTGGACTCCTCCATAGTTCCTGCTAAGTGGATGACTAAGACTTCAGAAAGACAGTCATGTGATTAGAGGTTTGGAGCTTTGTGCTATGTGGTATTAGCTGGAGATTACTTTCACATGCATGACAAAGGATTTAATCACTTCAATCATGCCTCCGTAAGAAGCCTCAGGAAAGCTTCCTGGACTTCCATTGTGTGAGCTTTGCTGTTCCAGGAGGGTGACAAATCCCTGGAGACATCATCCATGACCTCTCCATATGCATTTCTGCCTTTGGCTGCTTCTGATTTTTGAATCCTTTCGCTACAACAAACTATAGCCATACAGGTAACACTTTCCTGAGTTCTGTTTCATTCTAGCGAATTACTGACCCAAGGGAACAGTGGGAAGCCCTGAATCTGGAGCTGGGCAGAGGTTAGTACCTTGGGACCCTTGAGCCTGTAGCAGGTGTCTTACATCTTGAGTGTATTTTTCTGGAGGACTGTACCCTTAACCTCTGATGTCTGGCGTGACTTTAGATGGTTGATGTTAGAAACAAGTCATCTGTGGTACCACTGTGCTAGATACCCTGTATTGTCTTTTACTTCCATCTGATGAGGCTGACCTCTCGGTGGGGCTTCAGTTAAGTCATGCCCCAGTGGCCACACCCGTGTACTTGGAGGAAGAGTGTGGGAACTAGCTCTGCAGGTGCACTGTCTTATTCCAGAGAACAAGAGAATTTTAGTTCTAGGAGTTTGGCCCAAACATTTTCTGCCCTATCAAATGTCTGGAATGCTGTTCTGTTGAGTTGAATGGAGGAGATTGTTTTTTTCTTTATTTAAAAAAATATTTTGTTTAGAGGGATCTCTGGTGGCCTAGTGGCAAGAAGCTGTACAGTAATCCCAAAGGTTCATGGTTCAAATCCACCAGATGCTGTGCTGGAGAAGGAGGGGCAATCTCCTCCTGT